TCCATTTTATCGCTACACACGGTCGTTCTGGCCTCGGAATCGGCGGCATCACGGGCTGGACGGTTCACACCACCCGAAAATTCTTGGGTCGTATCTTGACAATGGTATGTTTTTTTCCCGCTTTGGTCCCAGTCGCTCATTGCCTTCAGCTCGGGCGGCAGCGCACACTCAGCCCGACCAAAGACGACCGTAACCAACTCTACAATGCAAGTTCCATCCCTTTTCACCTCTGATTCTTCCATTGATATTTTTGCAGGCGATAACCACCTGGGCGTACGACAAGGTTATAACGACCAAGAAACGAGAGAAGCGCATCGTGATGGAGGACGACCTCGCGGAGTTGCTGGCAGCCTGTCTACACCCCAACACCAAGATCACAACAAACCATGCGGTATGTTTCTCTGCGCAGCTGATCAAAATTACCCATTCACATTACCCTAGCGGCTCACACTGATGACCGTGTGTTCGTTTCTTTACACCCATGGTGTTCGGCCGGGGACGATTGTCGAAGTTATCGATTATAAAGGTCTGGGACAGTATCTTAAATGGAAAGTGCGTCATTTTCTCTCTTTCTCTGTCTTCAAGTACCGACCGGTAGTTTCTAGGACTCGGAATGGTTTATCTGCGGCTGGGACGAAGGCGCTGGCTTCGGGATGCAGGTCGCGTGGGTGTTCGAGTGGGGAAAAGGGCAGCGATACGATGACAGCCTAAAGTTCTCATTCATCGACTTTGTCGCTCTTCCTATCTGACATTTTCCAGTGTAAAAACGAGCCAACGCAACCTCGGACGGACACGAATGCACCTCGACTCCCTCCTTTTCATTGAGGCGCTCGCCATCTCCGCCGATGTCTTTGAGGAGAACTTGATAGAGCTGCGTGCTCGAGACCCTACCACCATGACATTCCCCTTCCGGCTCCATATCAAGAAGGAGGCTCGCGACAAGCCTGTCTTCTGCCGCACCGATGGAGAGAGCCCGCTTGGCGAAAGCCACCTTCGACACCTTACCAAACAGGTGAAACAGATGCTCGGCTGGCCCGGTATGCCTTTCTTGCGCCGTTTCATTTCACGTTACTCAATTTGCCTCTCAGGATTTCATTTATATTGTTTTCGGTACGGTTTTGCATCCACTATGCTAAGTACCCTGTCCAAAGTGAGTTTTGGAGCCTTATTCGTCACCTCTGGCTTATCCGGAGACACAGGAAAATGTCGGTTATCTTATGGGCCATGTGAGCAATTCTGTGCAGGCAACGACGACCTATCAAGCTCCGCACCGAGCTGTCGATGTCGCCGGCGAGCGATTTGGCGAGCAGAGCGACAGCTTCGCCGAAATGGCTGCTCGCCACTCGTCTGTGGCCTGGAACCGAACCCTTCCCCCCGCCCTCAACGAGCTCAAGAAGGACGCGCGGCTCAAGGGCCTCATGCGGGAAGTCGCCCGCACTGAAAAGGAGGTTCAAGACAAATACGGCAAGGAGAAGACGGCGAGAGATCTTGTCGCCGAGGTCTGACCCTTTCCGCTACATCCATGCCTTCCGTTGATCTTACTGCAGGGAAAAAGGGCCCCGTGCGTGGACAAGGCGATGGATGCACTCTCAGAGATGATGACCTATTACATGACCCTCTCAGCTGGTGTAGGTTTTTTTTCCGTTGCTATATAGGTGCTGATTGGCGTTGTAGTCTTACTCAGACCCCGCGATGTCCTCCGCCAACACTGGCTCTTCTTCCGCAGCCTCTATCGTCGACTCCACCGTTCCCCCAACCTCCGCTGCGTCATCGAACGCGCCCAGCTCCTCCACTCCGTCCTCCGACAACGCCAGCTCTGCTACGGCTGCCATTTCCCCCTTGATCACCGACGACGTCATGAACTCGATGATGGCTGCGTTGGGCTCCACCGACCATGCACATCCGTTTATCGCGCTGGTCGCGTCCGACCCGGTGAATGCGCGGCTCACCGTCATCAAGCGCTTTCTAGCCCTGTTGCATCTCGATAACGACGAGTTGAAGGGACTTTGTGAATGGTGTTATAGCAATCCCCAACTATCAGAAGAGGAGCGAAAACGGGACCACTCTAAATCTGGACACATGGGCCAGCACCTCATGGGCTGCGAGCTTGCCAACAACCCCGACCACTGGCGCTGTCCGATCTGTGGCATGCTTGTGCCCGTTCTTCCCCAAACCGTCTCTGCTCCGAAAGGCATGTACTTCAAGACCGGCCAAATGAAGTCGACGGTCAACAACGACCTGTCGGAAGCCGAGTGCGAAGCCATCTACGGCGCCTATGTGGCTCACAGCGAAGGCTGCTTCGAGCACTTCATGGACGTGCTCCGCGGCGATGTGGAGGCAGTGGACCTTGCTAAGGACGTCGGAGACGATGACGAGGAGTGCTTGTCTGACCCGGAACCCGCAGATGACAGCGAGGTCGAGCACGACGGCAAGGACGGCGATGAGGGCGACAAGATAGTCCCCGCCTCTGCACGCGACGACGACGTTGAGATGGTTCCGGCCGCACACGACGTCGACGATATGGCTCCGGCTCCGCTCGCCGACGTCGATATGGTTACCGCTCGCGCGCCCACTCCTGCCCCATCTTCAGTCGCATCCGAGCGACCCAAGCGTGTGTCTACCAGCCGCGCTCGTCCGGCTGCACGCGACGACGTTGATATGGTTCCCGCTCACGCGCCGACTCCTGCTCCCGCTCGCGCACCCACTCCCGCCGACGTTCCTGCCGACGTCGATATGGTTACTGCTCGCGCGCCCACTCCTGCTCCACTTCCAGTCGCATCCGGGCGACCCAAGCGTGTGTCTGCCGCTCGTGCTCGCCCGAATTACGGGGGTGCGGACGCGGAGGATAGCGACAGCCAGGACGAATTCGCTCCCAACAGCGGCAAAGAGAGCAGCGACGACGCCGACAGTGATGCCTACAGCGACGCCCGTGTTGGTCCTCGCCGTCGCCGCCCTGATCCTGCCCCCCGTGGTCGTACGCGCGCGCGCACTGTCCGTGTGCGTGAAGACAGCGATGACGAAGACGAGGACAGCGGCGCCCCCGCTCGTCGCCGCCCTTCTACTTCCTCCCGTGGTCGTGCACCGACTGCTAGAGCGTCGCGTCGCTCCACAGCTTCCGGCGGATCGGACAGAACCATGCAGAGGTATGTCTGATCATGATCCTAGGTCAATTCTTTGTCTGACTCTGGCTTTCAGTGGCAACGACACTGATACCTCAATGCGGTACGTCCTTTGACATGCCCAAGTGATTTTTCCTTACGCTGTTGCAGAAGTGTTGCCCCGAGGTCGCTACCTCGCAGGTTAGTGAATTCTTCCCGTAATTCCCGCTGCTACTTACCAGCACATACCGCAGAAGCGTGAGTGTGGTCAGTCGGACAGAGACCGAAGCGTCCATCGAGTACGGCTTCTCTTTTTCCTTGAACCCGCTGCTCATATATGTTCTAGAAGCACAATCCCCATCTCCCCAAATACCGATGGAACACTTTCGTCAGTTTATCCATTTTGTGCTCGACAACGACTCACAATCTCCAGGGGTCCGTTACGGCTTAGCGTCCAGATCAAACTAGGGCGGCGTGTTGGAGGGCGGCCGTGGCGCTTGACTCGCCTGCTGTTATGTCCGGTCTGTTTTTTCGATGAACTTCTAGATTGGTTCCAGCGTTTCATGTAAGCCCTCATTGGTCTAGGAAAAACACAAACTAACAATCATCACTACAGTGTTTTTACGACCGGGACGAAGCTGACGCTCCACATGGGTACTCATTGGGGTGACAAAACTGGAATCAGCTACACGAACAAGCACTCCTGCGGCTTTCCTGAATGCACTGTTGTCCGGATGTACGCTGGTGCCATTTCCGTACATTCTCTTATCTCATTTTTTTCTGCAGAATGACCACGGGCGAATACATCGAGCACCTACATCTTTTCCACGAGTACTCTCTACTGCAATGTGTAGACCATTGCGGGTCGGAGAAGTGCCAGCCTGGCAAATGCCCGCATGCTCATCTCGACACCTGCTACCAATTGCCCGCAAAATTCCAGTGGCACGATGACGCGCGTCTTTTCGCACACGACTCCATGCCCAAAGAACATCGCCTCCCCCTCCCTTCGACTACCCTCATAGAGAACCGCAAGACGGAGCTGAAAACTCGCGCTCACAAGCAAATTTTCGAGAAGCTCGAGATTGCTCCGTTCACGTTACCCCCTGTCGCCAAACCTTCAAAGGGCAAACCAGCGGCCAAGAAGCGCAAACTGGACGACGAGCTCCCCATCCCCCAGATCGATCCGGATGAGCGTCAGCTGCGGCTTTGCATGCTCGAGATCGCTCGTCTCCCCCAATTCGCAGAGATCAATCCCGAAGCTTTCATCACGGCCAAGCTGTCCCTCGCCACCCTTGTCTCCCTCCCCCGCGACCAAATCCCCACTTGCAATGTGACCTTCAACGTCCTCTCGCATAAACGATTTGTCTCGGAGATCCAAAAGTGGATCGCTGCAGCCGAGATGAAGGAATGTGTCGTGATGCTCGGAGAGACCTATCCGGAGATGGCATTCCACGGATTGCTGGGGGCCGAGATGAGCGTAGAGGAGTTTTTGAATCTTTCCGCAGCCGACATCGCGGAATGCGACATTGGTCTCGTCGTCACTGACAATGTCTGGAGTGCGATAAGAGCCAGCATCGCAGGCTGGAAGTTCGCTCGCGACGAGGTCGAAAGCGGCTAAACGGTAGATTATGTTTTTGGTGTTTACTGGTTTCTCATGCTCTTTACTTACTGCACATGCTCGTTGAATGCTTTGCGCTCGTTTCTTGTACAATGCGATGTTATATTTTTTAAATGTTATTCTTCACACCTCAACGCAAGCACCCGGCTCGCCTCAACTCGATTCAGCACCCAATTCAACTATTTCCCTCCCGGTGTCGCACTGCGAAGTGTCAGGCGATGTGCAAGGGGTCCCCGCTGAAGGGCTTTTGTCGGTGTATCTATATACAACGTCCCACACACCATGACCCCTTAGCTCAGTGGATTAGAGCATCTGATTCCAGCTACGTCTTCGAATCTGATTCCAGAAGGTCGTCCGTTCGATCCGGGCAGGGGTCAGCTTTTTGCTTCAGAGGCAGCCCCTGCGCTGTTCATTGGCACCGGCATGGCCGGTGGACTTCTCTTTCCATCACTCAAGCGATTTATTTTGTATATATTTCCGCCCATGTCTCGAACCTCAGTCGGCCACGAAGAAGTCGGAGAATGGGTCGTAGAGTTCGCCAGGGAACCATTTGAGGGTGGCGAAGAACAGCCGCCTGCTGGAGGTGGGCTCGACCTTGCCCCACGCCTAGAATCCGCTTTGGGGAGATGCTAGCACCAGCCGCACCTCGACCCAAGAAACTGGCCGGAGGCAGAGGAAGAAACAATAGCTTCTCTGCGATCTTCAAGACTTCACCGCTTAAAAGAGCACACCGGATCCCCGGTGTGTGGCTGTGCCAACGCAATCTAATCTACTATCTAGTCGACATCCAGCCTTGACGCTACCCGACGGTCTATCGCTTAGCCATTAGGCAGTCAGCTTCCAGAAGGTCGTCCGTTCAATCCGGGCAGAGGTCAATCTTTTTCCTTCGTTCCTGATCGTTTTTAAATCCAAAAAGTGCCTAGGATTCTTCCCATCCTTCGTGCGCATAAGTCCAAGATGTCACACCTAGCCCCCCCGAGGTCAACGGCCCAAACAAGGCTTGAACATAATCCTAGTCAAAAAAGCACAATTTGGCACATATTTCGACCAAATGTTGCTCAAATCACTAGGTCCAGACTCCAAGTGGTAAAATGAACTGCATTGATATATTCCATGCTACAACTTATTCCTAAGGAATCTCATCCGTGGTGTTGAGATACAGGCCGATACTTGCTACCGATCAAGTGCAGGAAGTTCAATGATCGGATCTTCTTATACATATCTCGCTCCAATCTTGGTCAAAATACTAGGGCTATGCTAGCCCAATAAAGCGACGACCAGGAGCCCACACTGAGGAGGTAGTAATTTGTATTCATGAGTTATCATCTTCGTAGCTGAGAATTCCGTTGGCATCCCTGGCTGGTACAAGCAATGAAAAAGTGTGGGTTAAATACGTCGAATATGATATCACACGGAACATCAACTGCCTCACTCTTTACTACCTGTTGTAGAATGAGAGAGCAAGATAAGAATCTCGTTTTCTGGCGCCGAGAATTTCTGTACACGAGACAGGGTCTCGATGGAAGCACATCTTATTGTTGGAGTCACTCGCCATGCCACGGAAAACGATATTGCGGCGGTGCTAAAAGATTGTTGTATTATAATTTACATTTATCCTAGTAGTCCCGAGAGTGCTTGTCCGTGCCGGTTCGTGAAAGTAATGATTAAGTCGTAAGGTCATGATGCATCGGGAAACAAAGCCGCAAACACCTGAGCCTGGTCAGCACGCGAAGAAAGTAAAATGAAAATCACCAACCTCGTCTACGATGGTGTATGCGATGTGTTGGTTCAGTCGACGATTCTGCAAAACTGCAAAGATTCTTCGCGCCCCCCGACGAGCATTCGTCCGTCCAATCATGTTCGCTGCCAGGTCTGAATGTCGTTTAACGGAAACCCATCTCCATGCTAGGAAAACACACCAGGTACTAAAGATGAGAGTTTTCGATTCGCATCATCTCTTGTTTTCAACTTCTCGTCGGGTGTCCGCGGTACGCTTGGAGGTTTCAATTTTCCTCCAGGCCAAAGTCCATTCCGAAACAAATTGACGATGACCATGATGCGCGATTCTTCGAGGAAAGCCTTTACTTGTTCTCGGATTTTTCTGAAAGAAACATCAGGCTGAAGTTCCGGCTTCATGATAACTATTACCGCTCGATGGTGCCGCCCAGCACCTGTTGCAAAATGATCACAACTGCTTGGCGCCGGAGCCAGTTGTTCGTCTTGTTTAGCTCGAACACCGCGAGCAACAGATCGCAAATAGGAGCCGAGAAAGTGGAGGTGCTCGTTTCCCCTTCCAGCGGCTTGAGATCGCCCGAAAGCTCCATCATCGCAGCCTCGGACGAGGTCTTTCCCGAGGCATTCAATGCTTGTGCGACAAGGTCCACATCGTTGACGCCGGATCCTACGATGCCCGCGAACTCGGCGGCCTGGCGGGTAAGGCGCTGGATCATGACATCCAGCATCGATGGCCCAAAGAACATGTCGTCAATGCTCTCAGTGACGGATTTATATACGTTTCGCACTAGATCCGTGCCTGAGAATGCGGCCGGCCCTTTAGCTGCTGCCCCGGGGGTCTCGGACGCAGAGAAAGGAGACTCCCTCGACAGGAACCCCCGCAGCTCATCGCTGTCGCAAACAATCGGAATGGCGATGAGATTCTGGCCGGATGTGAGCATTAGAATTGCATAACGCACGGCAACCGACCTGCAGATACTTCTCCAACGCAACTTTCCGCGTGTCCACAAAACTATTGGACAACGCAGTGACCAACCGCTTCCCGGGAAAGTCCAGGTTTCGGACGAGAGCATACTTGTCTCGTAGCTTGGTATGCATGGTCAAAAACTCATTGTACCGGCGAGCCACCACCCAGCCAGACGCAAAGCTCCCGTCGGGCGCAAGCTGCTGGATCTCGACAAGATATCGAACAACCTGCTTCCCTTCCTCGTCGCCCACAGTGGAGCTGACGATAGCCACTTTGGTACGGTCCGAGAACAAGCGGTTCACCGCGTCCTGTTGCTCGTACTGCGACTTCTGGAACTGCAGCGCCCTCAACTCGCGGTTCATCGCGGATTTGGACTTGTTCAGCAGCTTCAGTTCCTGCGTGTCGCCAGTCAACTCCGCCTTCTTAATCAGTGTGACAAGTATCGCCTCTTGCGACTGCAGATTGGCGATATTGTCTCCCAACCGAGCAATATCGTAGGAAAGCTGGAGGTCGCCTGGGGCGGCCATCTGGAACGATCCAGTTTCCTCGCCGGCTTCTTCCTGTCGGTCCTCGTCAATCTCGTCCACCTCGTCAACATCGAACATTGCTCGGCGCTTTCCGCTGCCTTTCCTCGAGTGTGAAGGTGCAAACATGGTATCTCGATCCCCGAGATCCTCGTCGTTTGGAGTTTGCTGCAACGCCATGATGTCGGTCAGAGCCGCCTGGATAGCCTCCATACGGACCTCCTCCGCTCGCTGCAGCCGATCATCGGGATCGTCAAAGAGCGGGGCTCTGGAGTCGTCAGAGGACGTATCGAAAACAGGCGACATGAGAACCTCGATGTTGGAGGGTCGAGACTGATGAGAGTGCGAACCACTTGACCGATGGGATCCACCGCTGGCGCTTCTCTGCCGAACATAGCCGGGCGAAGTTTCAGAGCGAGGCAGCATGTGTGGGAGCGGGCCATAACTCTGTTTGAGAGGAGACGGAACACCAGTGAGATGAAGGTTCGCAAGGCCTGGCGATGTGACAGATCGCCGATACTTGAGCGAAGGCGCTGGTTCTGGCGAATTTCTCTGCGCGGAGCGTCCAAATTCTGTATCGCCAATTGCACGAAACCACAATTCGGAGCGCTCGAAGTCCTCAAAGTCGTGCTCCATGTTCCGCTCCACTTGTCTCTGCGCGAGCATAACGCTCCTGCGCACAGTCCGTTGCGTAGCGGGAGACGGCGGCTGGTCACTCGTCGCAAAGTCCCGAATGCGCTGAATGTGCTTCTTCGGTATGGAGGCAAGTGTAGGATGAGGAGTAGGGGTCGAAAAATAAAGCTCGTAGATCATGGAGATATCCTCCCTCACGGTGACCAACGTGGAAGCATCCTGGATAGGATCATCTTCGTCGCCAGAGGAACTCGAATCCACGGACTCGAGCGGATTCTTGAAGCTTTCGACGGTCAGCCAAAATTGAACAAGTAAAGACCGTTGGCGGCGGTCCATAAACTCCATGAAATATGATAGAGAACTGGGGTTCTGTAAGACCTCGCGCAATGTCACGCCCGACTTGACGCCGGGCTCGTGGAAAGACGATTGTCGTCCCTGTGAGAACGGTCAACGTGTTTATGGAAAGGTAGCACAGTCCCTTACTGAATCGTCTCCTCCACCGAGAACAACAATCCTCTCCTCGACCTTTCTCTTGGCGGTGTAGAGCCTGTCCAAAAACGCCACGACGTCTTCAGTCTTATCTCCGTTGATCCAGTCTTCCTTTTCATGATTGGCTGTTTACAGTCAGTCGGTGGAGTTTAAACACGGGAATCACTCACCGAGCAGTATTCGAGTTCTCCTAATCTCGCCTACTACATCATTCTTCAGTCGACGGGCGTCCAAAAGCGATGAAAAGCGATTTATGCTGCGAAGAAAAGACTCGAACTGACGAGCGTCTGTCTTGATCGTGATGGTCTCGGTCGTAGGCCCGGCAGGGACTGGCGCAGACGACAGTCGATGATGAGGTCGAGGTGACTGAGCCTCGAGAACGTTCCGCACTTTCGTGATCAGTTTCTGCTCGTGTATTGCCGCACCAGCCTGTATCGAAATAATGAGACTATAAATCGGGGGTTAAATTGAACCACGCACCACTTGGTCGATTGCCTTGTTCCAAAAGTCGGGATCCGAAAGCATTTCCATGACTGGGTATAGAACAGCGCACGCAACAATCTCCCGCACAACCAACTTCAAAACCCTGCTCTGGCCCTCTGTCTCTGGCAAGATGAACGGAAGCGCTTTTGCCACCAGCTGCCTGAGGTGTGCCTCTTCTGTTTGCCTGGTAAAAGTAGTAGACAAATTGTCGACCGAAGGATGAAGTTTCCCGCCGCCTTTGCTTGTGTATCGACTGGCCAGTAAAAGGTCGAGCTCCTCTGACTGGGTCAACCGTCGCTCCAACCCTGCGCCACGGAGGGCGACCTCTGACTGTCGGAACTGCTCAACGTGTGCAGTAACCTTGGGGAGGATGCGCTTGACAACGAGCTCCGCTAAATCGATTCCGGCAGCCCGATCCAGTATATTTTCGAGTGATTTGTGTAGCACTCCCGAGACAGCCATAGGGAACGACGGAGACGTTGATATGTCCTTGTACCATACGAGCACAAAGTCTCGAACAATCATGATGAGGATGTCGTTTATTGCG